GAACAAAAAAAGCAAAGTAACACTGAGAATGAACACAAAATGACCAACATTTTTGAACAAAAGACCGAAAAAGGGACAAGATTATCAAATGAAACTCAAATTTGTAAATAAATAATAACTTTAATAACTTTAATAACTTTAGACTTTAGTACAGGCTCTGAAAAGCTGGGATCGGTATCGGATCTGAAGAGCAAAAAGCTGGACCGGGACCTCCCTAGTTTCCTCCACATTAAAAACAAAAAAATGAACCTTAAAACAAAGAGAAATGGGCGTGTTTGGGTCTGAAACAAAGCGGTGTCTTCCCTCCCTCCCTGCAGGCGGAGGCGGGCGTGCAGGCCGTGCACCAGGGCCGGCGGGAGCTTCTGGAGGAGGCCTGCAGCTCCTACACCCGCAAGCGGCGCGTCCTGATCCCGGAGGACCTGAAGCACGTGGTGGTGGACGACCAGCACGGGCTGCTGTACTGCTACGTGCCCAAGGTGGCCTGCACCAACTGGAAGCGCGTGCTGATGGTTTTGACGGGCGCGGCCGGGGCCCGGACCTCCCCCCTGGACATCCCCGCCCACGAGGCCCACGTCCCCGGGACCCTTCGGACTCTGTCCGAGTACTCGGCCCCGCAGATCAACCGGCGGCTGCGCTCCTACCTGAAGTTCGTGTTCGTGCGGGAGCCCTTCGAGCGGCTGGTGTCGGCCTACCGGAACAAGTTCACGCGGAGCTACAACACGGCCTTCCACCGGCGGTACGGAACCAAGATCGTGCGCCGGCACCGGCCGGACCCGCGGCCCGAGGCCCTGGAAACGGGCGGAGACGTGTCCTTCGAGGAGTTCGTGTACTACCTGGTGGACCCGGCGACCCGGCGCGAGGAGCCCTTCAACGAGCACTGGGAGCGCGTGCACTCGCTGTGCCACCCCTGCCTCATCCACTACGACGTGGTGGGCAAGTACGAGACTCTGGAGCAGGACTCCCGATACGTGCTGCAGCTGGCCGGGGTGGAGGGCCAGGTGGGCTTCCCCGCCTCCCCCCAGAGCGCCCGCACCACCGGGGACATGGCCGCCCAGTTCTTCCA